TGTATATTTTTACTAAAGAAATACTAAAGTATGACACTTTTAATAAAGTAGGGGGAAATATAAAATATCTTCTGATAATTATTTCTTAGGAAGTACAGTAAATTTTCTCTATTTTCTTCTATATTTTTATCATATTTCCCAATTTTCTCAATAAATGAAGTATCCAGTAGATGAGCGAATACTTATTGTATGTCCTACACACTATAAGATGGACTATAAAATAGGTGGTATTAACAGGCCAACAGTGTGATTCCAGCCAGCCTGTCAATTCATGAGATCACTTAGTGTAATTCTTCATTTATCTTAAACTTGTGTATATCTGGGCGTCTTTATGAGTTTCAGATTGCTAAAGTCATCCCTAAATGACAATGATTTATGGTCACTTGTATTTCTGAATTTACTGTTGACTTATGACTAATAATATAGTTCCTTAAACTCTTTTCTTGGTCCATGCAAAGATGCTGTTCTTAAATTCTCCAAAAATGGGGCCACAAAGCTGATTTTGACAATGAAGATTTGTTTATTATTTTACATGAAATCATCATTGTACTTTTATTTGGTTCCAAGTTAAAGATAGAAGCATAAAGACTGAAATTAGAAAAATAAATGGAATAATAAAGGGGGTGGGTTTGCAAAACTAAATATGTGTGTGTAGTGAGGTAGTAATACATCCAAGTGTATGTTGCAGTAGAATTCCACAAATTATTAATTAAGTATACCAACTGAAAAATGGTTCTTTGTTTAATATGTGCATTTTATAGAATCTGTGGGCAATTCAAGTTTCCATATGAAGACATTTGTATAACAACATCTAGTACAATAATTGTATGGAGTAAAATAGAATGAATGAATTGGAAAATGTTACCTGGTGGAAGTACTGAGCAGAAATCCACTCTAAGATAGAAAGAAAACTGAGAAAAAATATTTATATTTGAGATGTTGTCGACCATTTACAGTCTGTGGCTTTTCCTTTTTCATTGAAAGACAGGTGCATAGATATGAACACAAACTGGTTCTAACAGATGTTTTTCCAAGTTTGAAGTAACCTGTGTAGTAGCTGGGTGGGCTAGGGAGAGTGCATAAAGGATATATATATATATGTGTGTGTGTGTGTTGCACAATCACTGAACTTTTATTCACTCAGACTCTATTGCTTTTTCTTCGGGTGCATCAGTACTTTTGCATTATTACATTAGACCATATAACAGATTGTGTTGATTGCTCTTTGCAATTTCACAGCCCCTACATAATTGTACCATTCTGAAGCTCCTGAAAAACTCCTTGATACAGGAAGCAATGTGTGGCTTACAGAGGTACTTTAAAATTTTGTCAACTTTGCTGATAATAAGTGACTTCACATTTACTAGGATTTTACATCTTTTAAAAAAATCAACTTGTTATTGTTTCATTTAGCATTTAAATACTTGCAAACAAGTCAACATGTTTCACTCTAAAATTAGATCTGTAAATAAGCAATGGTAGAAAAGAACAACTGTAA